ACTCGTGTTTATTTCAGTTACCATGGAAACGTAATTTGTGATTAGCCCCGGTCCCTTTCAAATTGTATCATCATTTATGAACGGCCTTATATTTGAAATGACGTTTCACATTCATCTAGTGATGTCCGATTTTCATTCGAATAATTGTTTAATCGATTAACGAACCGAAAAGTAAACTATTTATAATCGGTTAGATCATGCCGATATAAGCATTAACATCTCCACAGGATCATCACCGATCGTTTCAAACATGTGCTGCACTCTCATTGGTGGAAAAATGGCAGCACAGCGAACAAAAAATAATCGATTAGTTGTTAATCGAGTAATTAAAAAATGGGACATCTCTGATTTTGGTGTGATTGTTTTGATAAAAATGAGCGCAAAATTTCATCTCTTCCGAGGGGGCAGCAAAACCACAAAATTACCTTGAATACGGGGGGTTCTCATTGGATGAAAGGGACCGTGAAAGAAGACACTAAAATAGAAAGTTTTTCTTCCGACAGTTTCATCTTAGTATTCATCTTTGGTTTTACGTTACGTTAATGTTAGACTAAAACGTTTCATTAGAGGCAGGCCCTAAGCCTGACCTTCTACTATCAAAAGTGATGAACTAGCCTACGGATAAAAATCACAAAAATAAAGAAAAAAAAAAACTCTACGAGCATTTTTGAATATATTTCTTTCGATAAGATATGCTATATGTCTTTGTTGAACCTGAAAATATAAGAATCAAATCTGCAGAATAATTTGTAAGTCGTATATTATCCAAAACAAATAATACTTTCTACAAATTTCTACATTTTTGTACTTTTGTAGCCGAATTCCTTCAAAAGTTGTATAAAGTTCCTTAAAATAGACCTCAGAAAAAAAAATGTGATAGAAACGGTTAGACTTCCAGGAAAAATTCCAGGAATATCATCAGAAGTGTAACGAGAGCATCAGGAATGAGTCAAGAACTTCAGGGTAATACCCAATAATTTTAGGACCCATAAATAAGTTCCGAAGAATGAATGTTCGGTCCAGAGATCTTCCGGTAAGCTCAGAGACCTTAAGGCCAGTGTCAATAACTTCAGGAAAGTTCAGACTTTCGGAAAATTTCTCGTAAATTCCAGGAAAGTTCTGAGATTTTAAGGACATTTTTTTTTCGGAGCAGTTCCAATAACTTCAGAAGAATCAGGGAAGATCAAAGATTCTCATTTAATTTGAGGGAATTGCAAAAATTTAAAAGAAGTTTCAACAAACTCAGGAAATTTCCGAAAGCTTCAGTGAAATTCCGAAATCTTCAAAGATGTCCAAAGAGCTTCAGATAAATGTTGAGATTTTTAGGCAGTTTGATTTTTAGCAAGAATGTTTCTAGTAATTCTCGGAAGATAAGATGTAGCTAGCCCGGACGATCCAGCTTAAATAAGCGTGGCTTAAGCGCCACTCCACAAGGGAGCCCATACGTCCAAGGTTAATTTGCACGGATAAGACTCTCCATTAATTCCTAAAAAAGATTTATGGATCGTTCCAGACAGCTTCCACGACCAAACGGGTATTCCCTATTATCCCGATGAATTCACACTCAAGAAAGTCACTCAGACAAACGGTAGAGCTCACGCATGCCCTAAAACTCTACGAGAGAGAACTTCTCATCATCGACCAGTCCCGTCACCTACCGCTAGATGTCTCCCTAATCTGCTAGTGGAATGTGCTTCCCACCATTCAAACTCAACAAGAGGACGGGCAACGAAAACTAACACGAACGCGGAGTGATGTCAAACACATTCAAATAGGTCATTAAAGCTAGGGAGATTTGGAACGGGAAAACAACATTTATTTATAACATGAACGACGAATATTTAGTGCCTCTTACTGTTTATTTACATTTGTACAAAATTCGTTTTATTTCTGTTTCTGTGTGTTTGTTCCTATTCGCTCTCATACTGTGTGCGGTTTTTATCTCTCCCTAGCATACTCTCAATATCGTTTTTGTCTCTCATGGGCTCATGTGCTCGGTGTTATGTGTTGTTGGGTGTCGTCACAAATTGGTAGCTCAGCTCTACCAAGACATGTGCTCCTGGTGACAATGATTTGTAGCGTCGAATTACGCGCGCATGCTTTTAGCAAGTCGTCACGAAACTCTACTCAATGGATCATTTTAGATGCCTGAGTTTTGAACCCACCACAGCTTTCATTTGGCGCTACTGTATACGGACGAACCAATGTAAAATACTGTGGTAGCCACAGTACGGTGCTGTCAAAACCTCAGCATCTTCAATGATCCATTTACATCACACGCCGATACGATGGCGGTTACTATGCCGTGCCGGTTTTGATGACGAGCCGGCGTGTGGATCCTGTCCACGTGGAGGTCCTTCGAGCCTCCTCGGATCGATGTGATTACGGATCTGTCCGCTTCCGGCCGGTTGGCAATTGCCGGGAAATTCCGTCCGACGGGGAGAAGTATCGCGCTTGGGTGTGTAATTGGTTGCTGCGGAATGAAGGTACAACACTACAACAGAAAGTTGAACACAAGCACGAGCGCGGACAAAACAGCACATTTTGAGCAGACCAAATTACCTTTTTCCTTAGCAACTCTCTCCTACCGCACATAATTAATTCACGCACACTTTAGTTTTTAACTAAACTCTAGAACGACATCACTTTATATTAGCATACTTTTCGCTATACTAACGGACACGAACAAACGTGCACACTTCTAAATTGGTGGAAATTCACGGACGAAATGATCGAGCCTGTGAATCCTCAGATTAAGGAATTGTAAGACTCGGACGGACCGGAAGTCCATCTTTTCCCGAAACCCATCGTGTACTTTCATGAGTCCAAAGACACGAAAGATAACTTGGCCGATAGAAGTGCCGTTGTACCTTTCCTACCTTATCCATAAATTAAACGGACCCGTCTTAGGAAAGATTTCAGCAAAAAAAAAATGCTTGTGTATTTCTACTGCCTACCCTAAGGAATTTAATTCAAATAATTTAAACCTATTAAATAATATACAAATTAATACAAAACATTACAAAGAGAATTTCAGAGCAGTTCAAGATGTTCTGAGGAATTTTAGAAATGTAAAAACAAAAAATAGAAAAATTGCGTAGTCTTCAGTTCAGAATATGAATATTACGAAAATTGTAGGAATGATAGAACTTCTTGAAATTTTAAGAATTTCTTGAAGACTCCATGATAATTTGGTAAATTAAAGCTTTATAACTTACTTCGCGGGTTTTCCATTTAATTATACTACTATTTCAGGACTTTCACTTATTCACATATTCACTATCCCTTTTACTATTTATTTTCATATCAATTTAAAAAAATATAAAATAGGGAAAATTGATGTAATGTCGGTCTAAATGCCCCTTATTTAAGCTCATACATAAATTCAGCAATCGACTAAATTTTCAATAGCCTCCAAAAATATCCATTAGTACCGTCCCAATGACGCGTTCATCGAGATAAAATTTATAAATAGCAGATCTTTAGTGGTGGGCCCAATCTAAGATCCGTAGGCCAACATTAGAGCCATTTCCCCTATATACGTTTTTCGTTTACTACCTGAAAACAACGCAATAAGGAACACAATTATTCCACTGAAACGCTCATCAATCAATTCAGAAAACTATATGCAAGTTCTAGATTTTAAGAGATGTTCCATGAGCTTCAAAGATGTTTCGATAACTTCCGGGAAAAAAACATCAAGGCCGTTCAATAAGCTTCACGAAATTTGCGGGAACTTTACAAAAATTCTAAGAAATTCATAGAAGTTTAGAGAGCTTTATTGCAGTTCAGAGCTCCAATAACTTCAGAGAACCAGTGAAAGCTTCAGAAAATTATTTCAAGGAACTTTAAAAATATTGAAGAATTAGTACTTTGGCTTCTTTTAAGGCTTCCAAAAAAAGTGCTGATAACAGTTGTATCGTCACCCACGTTTCGATTCAGGGATTGCGATCTTTATCGGGGATTGTTTTAGATTTAGATCATTAAGTGTTTTGCGCTACACGAAAGAGGGTACATTTTATATTCCCTTAAAAAGTCCAAGTTCAAAGGCTGAAACTTCAAATATTAACATCGTAGTTTATTGATTCCCCGATGAACTGAAAAGCCAACATCCTAAAAATAGTTATTTTAAGTTTTATAGTGAGCTGATTGCAGACAAGTTTTATTCGTATCCTAGTTTTAATTAGAGGGGATTGAAATTTGTGTGTACGTTTTTAAATTACACACAATTATGGGTCCTTTTTATAGGGAGCGCATGGATTTGTGGTGAACGGAGTGCTGATGAAAAATCAGTGAGTAGCCATCTCTAAATTTACCATGACAGCACTGGTTCCAGTTTAATTGATGTATGTTTTGTGAGAGCTAATATTTGTACTCATTCATGAGTGAGGTGATAATGAGATTAATCAGAGATAAGGTTTACGCAGCGATTCACGTTAAGAAACATAGGTTTTAAATATTGTCGTCGGTTAGCAACGCTTGCTTTTTGTTGCATATATGAACCGAATCCAACAAAACACGCTCACCGTTTGTTGAGGTTGGCTTGATGAATTTCAATCCATTTAAAATTAACTCCAGACTTCAGCTCAAGTTACCAGCGACAGCTCTTTTTGAAATTATGTTCACCACATCATCTGTTCTCGAAACAGCGTGGTCGGAGCTAGCATACACTTACGAATATATAGATATCACCGATTCATCACGCAGGCTTGTTACGTTCCCTGGTTCGTTGCAATCGTCACCTATGATACTCTCTTCACCACTCTCACATCAATCATCCGAATTTTCGTCCACGTTGGTTATCATCAGAGGCGATAAGTGATTATTTAGTGATTAGTGATCGGAAAATTTATTATGAGCATAAGCAAAAAAAATGTGATTTTCAATAATAACTGAAACCTTTTGAAGTATGATTGCTTTAGTTTATAAAATTAAAAAAAATATATATATCAAATACACTCAACTAATGCCACTTCCCCTTTCTTTCTCCCCCTTTACAGGATGTCACCCAGGTGTCGAACGAGCTCCACCAGTTGGCCATTGGCCCCAACACAAATGACCGCTCCTTTTGTGATACTGACCATTTTTGCCCTGATGTCGCCACCGACGATAGTCTGGGCCGAAAACGACTTCAGATACATTTCTTATCAAGGTAAGTCGTAACCGGTCTTGTCATCATTTTTCCTTATGTTTCGTTTCTTTTTTTTTTCTGTGACTTCCTTTTGCGATTGCAAACGCACACTGCATTACTTCGTCTACTGTAACAGAAGGAGGCAGAAATGCATCTTGATTGCCCATCTCCTACTGCTGGCGGATGGAGCAATTCGTGTATGGATGCCGAGGAATCTTTGTCACAAAGTTGTTCATTTTTTATGAAAATTAAATTTTTATTTTTATGTTAGTCATATAAATGCCATTAGTCGCGCCAGAAGTGAGCTGCTTTCTTTTCGTAAGTTCCGTCCTGCGCGCAGCAAGTGCATATCTAAACAGGTTCACTTCTTGTCGGTTGTGGGAAAATGCACTAAGGAAATGTACTTGTGTGTTTGCATAACTTCCAGTTCCAGCTTGAGTGACGTTTATTCAGCACATGGACGCAGTGAAGAAAGCACTTGCTCTCCGGTCGATCGGCATTGATATGTAAATTTGATGTGCGATTATGATAATTGCTGATCTCAATCATGCGTCGTCAGTTGATTTGCGTTACCGGTTCGGGTCTGTTATTGTGGAGCGCTCCTGTTGGATTGGATATGATATTAGCCCTTTGTCTGTACACATTGGCAGACCAGAACATGTTTTAGTTGGTTATGAATTTGTTTAGTTCTATCGTGTTTAGGTGTGTCCTCTTGGTGCTCAAATTTTCTTCTAAATACTTAAAAACAATTTGCTTGAGAAACTTAAATACTTAACTTTAACTAATTATGTTTGTATTACTTCATGCGTGAAGTTAACGATTTACATTTTTGGAGCTGCTTAACATCAAATATCAGACTTATAGTGGTCATTTTATACTATAGAGTGGGCAAAACAGCTCATCTGGCTGAGTGGATAAAACCCATCCAGCTCACTAAAGGGAGTCGATTCTTTTGAACAGCTCTTCAGCTCACATTGAAATTATAGAAATTATGACACAAATTCAAAATCGGAAAATTAATGAGTGGTTTTAGTGCTTAAAACTGCATAAAATCGTAAAAGTAGTCTAAACCAATAAATCCGTACCTTACAACGTGGCTTTACTTTTCAATGGAAAACGCTACTAACGCAGCAATTGATCAACCATCGCGTAAACCAAAATGCGTGCAAAATTTGCCAACAACATAGCAGTAAAACAAAAAATGTATGCGAGAGAGCTACACCTATGTCACACGCGATGTTACTATAGTCGCTATATTCATAGTCTGGCGGATAGAATCTCGGGAACCGATCGGGAACCAATCGAGCAAATCACGACCAACAACAGAAAAGAGCGCATCAGTTATTGCGAACAAAACTTCGGAACCCTTTGTCTCGTGACTCAAGACTCGCCAACGCAAATTAATACCATCATTGGGCTGGGGAAAGTTTCCCCTATCCGGTGATGCTGGTAATTTGCGTTCGATTGGCGAGGAAAGAATAATCAACGTTTTGTTTATAAAAGTTGATAGTACCTTTTCAATAGTTGGTCTACAATATATTGAATTGGTTCCGCTTTTTGATAAATCGAAATTCTATCCGCCAGACTTTGAATATAGCGACTATAGATGTTACGCCTTTTTTTCAAGCTATGCAATCCAGTCTACATTCAAATTTTATTTCTGATGTTAATTCTCCAGCAGAATTTCTCTCACTATTTAAAAATTATCCCAGTTAATCATTCGAGTCGATGATTCCGATCCGGAGCAGAGCTGATTAGCTGGAGGGCAGCATTTCGCTTCTGAGCATTTCCAGCCCAAAACGCAAACCGGTTGGTCATGAGTGTTTCCGATTTGAATGAAACATTTCTCACGTGTTCGCTGCTACTAATGGTTGCATTTTTCATTTAAATATGATTTTTTCCTCCAGAGTAACTTTTGAAAAGGGCGTATAAAAAAATGGATTATTTTTTTTTCAAAAAATCATAACTTGAAAACTGTTGATCTGATCAAAATGACATATCAGAAGAAGTTTTAGGTAGTTAAATTATCTTTGCGGAAAAAAAAACACTGAAAGAAAAACTTAGTAAATTAGTATTTAAAAAACGTAAAACGATGATTATCTCAAAACACCCCCCCTTCGATCTTTATAATTTTTTTTTTCAAGAAAACTGAGAAAATGCCCTAATATTTGGTGAAGAGTGTATGCTGGTAACTTTCTTAAAAAAAAATCTATAATTTTTGAAATTTATGTTGGTTTTTGCAAGTTGGTGAAATTGCATATTTTTTAGTAAAATAGTAATTTATTTGGATTCTACGCATAATTTTCAAAAACTTTGCATATAAAAACTTTTTTCCTAAGTCCAGCCGTTCTCAAGTTAATGCAATTTAAAAAAAATAATTATAATAATTTTCTACATTTTGGGCCATTTTCAAATGTTAGTCGTGATGTCCAGCAACGAGATGTTTTTCCATGAATATATATTAAAAAACAAACAGTTCATTCTCAAATATGGTAGCTGTCAGACTTACCCGTTTCTATTTAGACGCAGCAGAAAAGAAACAAGTTGTTCGTGCAGGCGACTACTTCTGCCTCTACCCTTAACATAAAATAGGTACTGTGCCTACCCATAGATGTCACCACTTGTCCCCGTATCATTGTTATAGCTTATTATGTACTGTTCTTGTTATGTTACAGTAAATAAACGTCTGTAGTACTTTTACCTCCGCCATGGCAGGACGGTCAGTAAATCTATCGTAAATCATTATTTTCTACTATCACACAACGTACAAATTGGGTCCTATCCGTGCGCGATCACAAGTTTATAAGTAAATACTCTCAAATATACCCAAATAATCAACAAACCCACTCATGTGCCTTTTTTCTGTCCTCTATTAGTTGTATACCTGGATAGAATTGTGTATGTCATAACAGAGGCTCAAAACATAAACAGGTAAACAAATATGTTATTAAACCTGTAATTGAGATAAATTCTCTAGGTACTTCTCTGACGTATACCATATTGTGCCTTAAGAGCTCATCCCGCGATATCACAACTACATAAAAAGGCACCCCGTGGAGGCTTCTTACACTCACACTTAAAAAAGTTTGCTATAATCAATTGTACCTAATGAAGATAGGTATAATGTCAACATTGTAATTATTCTGCTACATATATATATATATATATTGGGACGTTCTTCACCTGTTCTGTATCCGCTGATTTGCCGCAGATCCCGCCTCTCAAGGGTGAACAAACTGGCTGTCAAATCATAGCACCTGCGATCCTCTATGCAGCTCCCCTGTGGGAATCATGTGCACAGACTCACAGGCACAAAATCCAAATCACTCAGAATAGAGTGCTGAGGATGGTTCTTGATCGTCATTTCGACACTAGAATAACAAATTTACATGAAGAGGCAGGCATTGCCAAAATAGATTCCCGAATTAACGAAATTAAGACTAAATTAGCACAAAAATGTATTTTATCAGAACAATAGGTTAGTTGTAGTTGTAAATAGTAGTTATAAGTAGTCTCCCTTTTTCAAATTTTAAACAAACCAATCCCGCCAAGGTGGTCATTCTTAAAACAGGCCTGATAGGACTAGGAACTGTAATTAATAATAATTTTAATTGAAAAGGAACTATAGCTGAAAAGACGCATCTGTGTCACTTGATAAGGTATACATGTAAACCACACAATACAAGAAATAAAGATCATTTAAGTCAAGTTCTTGACCTGTTCCATTCAGTTCATCTCTCTTAGCGTTTCAAGTTAAAAAGCAAAAAGTTTTTTACGATGGATAACAATTTCAAGTGTTGTAAACCTCTACCTAAATCAATTTCAAAGCATGACACAGTAGCAGTTCAGTTGTTTATCTCAAAATTATTAGAATTTTTAAAGTCGCAAATAACAGTCCAAAAGTGTATTTTTATGTTAGATAGAGCAGCATCACAATACAAAAACATAAAAATTTTGCTAGCCTTTGTGGATTTAAAGATAAGCATAATGTAGAAATGGAATGGCATTTTTTTGCAACTTCACACGGCAAAGGTCCTTGTGATGCGATTGGCGGTACCCTTAAGAGAATGGCAACCAGAGCAAGTTTAGCTAAGCAACACGAGCACCCTATAACGAACCCTAAACAACTGTACGACTGGGCAAATAGTCGTAAAGAAGATCTTCAAACAAAAATGTCATTTTGTTATGTTTCTACGGAAGAATACAAAAAGGCTGGCACGGAATTTGATCCAATTTTTAAGAAAGTGAAACCAATTCCTGGAACTCGAAAATATCATTGCTATATTCCAGTTTCATACAACCAAATTACAGTAAAAATATTCTCTAATTCAAACGATACACCCAAATTATGCAATGTATTCAAATAATATGAGTTGTAAAATAAAATAATAAATATATACTGTTTCTTATCTCAACAAATCTTTCATTTGACCACATCAACGTGCTTCTCTTCCGCTGCCTCTAGATAGAAACGGGTAAGTCTGACAGCTACCATATCTGAGAATGAATTGTTTGGTTTTTAATATACAATCATGAAATAAAATCTGGTTGCTGGACATCTCGACGAACATTTGAAAATGGCCTAATATATTGAAAATTGTTATAATTATATTTTTTAATTCGCATTAACTTGAGAACGGCTGGACTTAGGAAAAAAGTTTCTATATGCAAAGTTATCGAAAATTATGCGTAGAATCCAAATAAATTAATATTTTACAAAAAAATATGCATTTTCATCAACTTGTAAAAATCAACAAAAATTTAAAAAATTATAGCTTTCTTTTTAAGAAAGTTACCAGCATACACTTTTCACGAAATTTGAGGGTATTCCATCAATTTTCTTGAAAAAAAAAATTATAAAGATCGAAGGGGGGGTGTTTTGAGATAATCATTGTTTTACGTTTTTTAAATACTAATTTACGAAGTTTTTTCTTTCAGTGTATTTTTTTCGCAAAGATAATTTAATTACCTAAAACTTCTTCTCATATGCCGTTTTGATCAGATCAATAGTTTTCAAGTTA